TGAAATAACATATCATATCATGTAAAATATATGTAATATATGAACAAGAAAATAGAATGACAGTGCCTGGCACCCAATAAGTTTAATAAACGTTACCGATGTTACGTCATCCTGTAAGAGGCCTGTGGGGGCGGGTCCTGGAGATGGTCTTTCCCTGAGTATTGAGGTGCCCAGTGAAGCCGGGGAGGAGAGACCTCATGTGGGTCATAGAGAAGTGGGGGTGGAAACCAGAAGGGCATGGGGTGTGTGTTGAGCTGAAGGACTGGGCTTTAAATGGAGGTGGAGGTGATGAGACCACACCCTTAACCTTGAAGCCTTCCACCCGAGAACCTGAAGTGCAGGGAATTGGCAGCTTCCCGGAAGGCTGACTGGGAAAGGGCCAGCGGGACAGCCCCGCTTTCCCCTCCTGCAAGTCACTGGCCAGGCCTCTGCATCATCCCTGGGAAGCAGGCAGCCAGAGTGCCCTGTCTCCACAAGGTGGGAGGTGAGGGAGAACATTTACTCATTGTCCAGAGTGAAGGCTTCATTCTGCAAAATGGCCAAAGCAATCAGCAAGTGATGGAGTAGCTCTTAAAAAGAAACCTGGCATTTAATTAACTTTTCAAAGTGCTGGTTCAGCAACCTCAATGTTTTACATTTTGAATATTGAACTAGCATCTCTATAATCGGACCTGCCAGGGTTGGGAGCACCTGCTCAGTTTTTATGAACATGATGGAGTCTTGTCTGAATTTCAAGACAACCAGCTCAGGATCACTCAGGATAGGGCTTCAGTCTGTGAATCCATCTCCTTGCTCAGCCTGGAGGTCAAGGCAGAGTTCACCAACACTTTTGTTAGAAGAGAGCAGGCAACTCAGAAGGATAGGACAGGAGGTTTCCATCTCGCTGCTTAGCAACTGGACAGTCCAGCCCACCATCTGAAATAAGGTTTAGGGCAGTGATTCTCACCCACATAGCGGGTCCCATTTCTGGAAATTACTCTCCCAGAGGCCTGGGGTGAGACCCAGCACATAGATCCTGAAGAAACTTTCTGAGTGTGATTCTCTTGTGCCTGGTTAAGAGCTCCTGGTTTAAAGGATTCTCTCCATCTTTTATTTCTCTAAGTGTGGTAAGTCAGGAATGGAGTGTCTGCACAGTAAATCCAAACAGCTGTCTGGGTGCCTGTGGGGCATCTGAAAACTAGCTGTGCCTGCTGCTGAGAAGGCTCAGGCGGTGTTTGGAAGCCAGGGAGGGCGTCAGGAGACAAGGATTCTGGTCTCAGCCTCCTCACTAACTGGCTCTGTGGTTTGGGTGAAGTGCACAGCACAGTGCCCAGCGTCTGTCACGCTGCCACTGAGACCTGCTCTGCCTCATTTCCAGCACTCAGCTGAGCGAGTCTTTGACGAGTGCTGCAGAGTGCTCTCTCTGTGTAAGACAGTCTCACATTATCATTATAATTGTCCTGTTCCCAAACCTTCTCGTAGCCACTTCTAGGGAAAAAGGCATGTCCCCTCCAGAGGGCTGACCGGGTCAGTTGCCGCAGAAGTATGTCTATGGAAGAGATGACCCAGGGCTACAGTTCTCTCCCTCGGCCTCCACAATCTGTGGCAGGCAGGGCTTCAGCCCCAAGTCCTCTGGTGGGCGGTGGTAGACCAACTCTGTTTTCATTTTGTTTAACCTGTCACCGCCATTTAAAAATACACTCTCCATCATGACTGGGTATGTGAGCATATAAAATTGAAAAGAAATTTAATAAGGATAAAGACCTATCCTTATTGTGAGCAGTTCACTTTCTTTTATCTTCTATGCTATTAAAAAAAGACCAGTGGTGATTTACTAACTTGATTTCATGAGTCACTAACAGGCCACGACCTGTATTTTGAAAATCACCGTGTTGGATTCTGTGCCCTGGCATTGGACTCCGTGCCTTTGGGGACCAGGTAGGTAAAGTAAATCTGTGAAGTGTGGATTTATTTCGGAATAGCACCTAAATTATATTACTGAGGTACATATGCTGATTATTTGCGTATTCTTACTTCTATGAAGATACTTACTCTTGGCCAAGTCTCCTAAAATCTGCTTCCCAGTTAGTCTGCCTTTGCTTTCCCGTGTTTGATAGCTGCCTAGCTGCGTACTTCACTGGCCTCTGCATTTCCGTAAGAGACCTAGCAGTGCAGACTGGGTGATGCAGAACCAGTACTGGACCTGGGATAGGGAGCGCTGGGAGCTCAGGGGCAGCCACACTCAGATGTAGGTCCCTGTGGAAAACACTGGAATGTAGGTCCAGTGTTGCTAGGGTTTGTATCTGAAGAATTTAGAAATTCATTTTTTTGTACAAAATCTTCGAATTTGGATAAGAAATTGATGTTAGAACAGAACAAAACAAAATAAAAATAAACAGCTGTTGCCAAAACCGACTTGGGTCAGTGGCTAGAACGTCGGTATGTGGACTGAAAGGTTCCAGGTTTGATTCCGGTCAAGGGCATGTACATTGGTTGCGGGCACATCCCTGGTAGGGGGTATGCAGGAGGCAGCTGGTCGATGTTGCTTTCTCATCGACGTTTCTAGTTCTCTATCTCTCTCCCTTCTTCTCTGTGGAAAATCAATAAAATATATTTTAAATAAATAAACAAACAAACAAACGAACAGCTGTGTGGTCCAGACCAAACTTATATGCAAGCTAGATAAGGCCTGGAAGTGGCCAACTTCATCAAAGGCAGACCGTTCCGTGCCATTTTCATCTCCATAGCAGAGCAGAAGGCTCACACTGAACCTGTACTTCGGTGGGGTGGGGGGGGGGGGGGGCGGGGGAGAGACACGAGAAAACACCACCTGAGGGCTTCCCGCTGACCATCCTTGAGGGCTCCATTTTGATCTTGGTCCATCCCACGGGGTGAAATGAGATGCCGGAGGACTCTTGGCTCCCCCTGGAGTGAGAGAGAGCAAGATGTGGGCTCAGCAGCAATTAAGCCACATATAAAATTCATCCCCTTTTTGGATATGGAGTGGATAAATGGCAATTAATCAGCCTTCCCCCAAAGATTAGCGTTATCATTATTGTCTCCTTCAGACAAAATCACTGCTACTTTTGCCACCTCCCATTGCTTAGGAGGAACCGATGCAGTCATAATTCCTAAGAGTAATCGGAGATGGATATGTCTCTTGTGTACAAAGGCATTGCTGGCCTAAGCTCCCTGGCCTTTTTTTTTTTTTTTTTTTTTTTTAAATATATTTTATTGAGTTTTTACAGAGAAGAAGGGAGAGGGATAGAAAGTCCGAAACATCGATGAGAGAGAAACATCAATCAGCTGCCTCTTGCACACCCCGTACCGGGAATGTGCCCGCAACCAGAGTACATGCCCTTGACCAGAATCGAACTTGGGACCCTTGAGTCTGCAGGCCGACACTCTATCCACTGAGCCAAACGGGTTTCGGCTCTCTGGCCTTTTTAATACCCTTATTCTCTGATCCTGTTTTCATTCAAGCCCTCCTACCGTTGGTGGCATATCAAGCCATTTGGTCAGTGGGTTTATAGAGTTCAACTTCACCGAGACAATTAGAGGTAGTGAGTTGGGAGCAGAGCCTTCTCTCTTCCACTTAGAGGCATCTTTGGCGGCTGCCTCGGACTCTTTGTTAGGATTTGTTTGACTTAGAACAGCATTGGAAACCTCCATTACCCAGCAGCTCCATGGTGGCGCTGCCCTGGACATCACTTTGCAGTCTACCTTGGGCCTCTTACTGCCTTTTCTGTTCCACTCGTCCTTCTATTCCTGGTTGCTCAGTCTCTTTAATTGGCCCTTTAAGAGACAAAAAACATAGTCTGGGAGATCCCCTCTGTTCATCCAACCTCGCCTACCTATCCTCTTCTCCTTCCTTGACTTCATCCAAAATCCATTCTCTTCCTTCCTTCCTCCCTTCACAGTGAGTTGGTATGGTCTGAATTTCATGGAAACTAATCTATTTAAACTTGGGCTTAATTTATGATTATACTGTTGGGGGGCAATTATTTGCATTGGCAGGAATTGCTGTTTGGTTCCAACATAGCTCTTACTGGTGAGGCTTTGTGGGCCAGCGCTGTCGAGGGCCATCTCATGCATCTCCTGGCCATTATGTCATTGCCACTGCCCTTTGTCCCTGTTATCATGGCGACGATTTCTAACTTAAGTCATAAAAAATAAAAATTCTGTTATTGTGATGTTCAGGCATACAGAAAAGTAATCACGTATACCCATCACCCGACTTTAACAGTGGTCAACATTTGCCAGTCTCATTCAGAAGACTTAAGATGGGTGTTTCTCTGTAGTATTCTACTTGGGTTAGAATTGCTGGAAATTTGTTTAAGATGCATATTCCTGAGCTACCTATCCCCCAGACCATCTGATCCGAACATCTCTGCTGCCAGGTCCAGCACGTCCAACTGGCGGCATGTCTGTCAGGCTTCCCAGTGGTTCCCGTGCACAGTCAAGTTTGAGAACCAGCGCCTTAACAAATGTGACAGGCTTCCTGTTCCCACGGAATATCCGAGGGCACTAGCCAGCATCACTCACAGGGCTTCTGGTCCTTCACGTGGAGGATACAGAAAGACGGGCCCTGAGCCTGCAGCCTCCCTGCAAGGCTAGCTCATCCCTTTCTGTTCGTAGATGCTGCACATATTAACACAACAGCTCCAACTAGGAGCCAAGGTCTCAGTCCTAAAAAGTGCTCAATAAATTGGTCAGTACTTGTTGAAAGAAGGGAGGGTGTCATATCATCTATATTCATTTGACTTTTGAGCTCACTCAGCCTGCATTTAAACTCAGTCATTTAATTTGGAGACATGCTGAAGTAAGGTTATAGGAAGGTGTTTCAGTATCTATAATTCCCTCATGGTGAGTATGAGCCTTGGTCTGTAAAGAGGAATCCAGACAAATAAAGCAGCTGGGATATGCTCATTTGCATCTACTTTTGAAACCCCCTGTCCAGCATACCCTGCCAATGCACGAGACTAGTAGGTTCTCATAACCCTTCTCTTTCTTTCTTTCAGGTCAGGAAGGAGGGCTTTTGAAGACGCAGAAGAGTATGTTTGCAGTATTTTTATGGCACCCTATGGGGATGTTTGTCTACAGTGCAGTCTTTGTTGAGCAGCATTCACAAAATAGGCAGTATGAGTCTGGCTCTGGCTGGGCTGGAGTCATGCTTCCTGAATCACGGGTTTGACAAATGCAGCGTCTCCCACTGAAGGCCTGGGCTTTGGCCTTGGTGCCTGTCACACCTCCTACCCTGTAGTTTTTAGAATTACATGTCTAGGTATCAGAGTACTGACCCATGGGTTCTGCTGTATTGATATAGATGGCCAGAGGCAGTGCAAGTTTCTAAGCCTCACCTTCTCTTAAGACTTACATTCTTAAAAAGTTTCCTGGTGAAGATGGAGTATAAAGTCAGGGCCATCCAATTTCGCACCTCAGAGGTAGAAGAGCATTCACATCATAGTCTGTGTGACCCTACCCCGTGCAATGATGCAGTACCAGCTTGGGCAGCCATACGTGGCAGACCCAGGTGCCCAGTTAGGTTTGAGCAAGTTGGAGGAGAGTGGGTCCAGAGACATTTTCATCTAGGACAGTGGTCGGCAAACTGCGGCTCTCGAGCCACATGCGGCTTGTTGGCCCCTTGATTGTGGCTCTTCCACAAAATACCACGGCCTGGGCGAGTCTATTTTGAAGAAGTGGCGTTAGAAGAAGTTTAAGTTTAAAAAATTTGGTTTTCAAAAGAAATTTCAATCGTTGTACTGTTGATATTTGGCTCTGTTGACTAATGAGTTTGCCGACCACTGGTCTAGGAGAAAGAATGGATATAGTACAAATTTGGGTTGTTTCTTTCTGTGCTTAAAACTGATTTTCTACTTTCCTTCCTTTTTGGGCACAGTCATCGCCTCAGACCAAAGAGCCTGGATGGATCAGATGACGGAGGAGGTAAGACGTTCTTGGAGGAAATCTGAAGGGCTTGCGGAGATGTCCCAGGGCCCCCGAGGCATTTTCTGCACTGCAGCTAAGGCACCGGCTGCTCTAGTGCTACAGCCTGTGTCCAGAGTACCTCTCCCCCTTCTTTTTCTTTAATATATATATTTTTTATTGATTCCAGAGAGGAGAGAGGGAGAGAGAAATGGAAACATCAATGATGAGAGAGAATTATTGATCGGCTGCCTCCTGCATACTCCCTACTGGGGATCCAGCCCGCAATCAAGGCATGTGCCCTTGGCCGGACATGATCCCAGGGCCCTTCAGTCCTCAGGCTGACACTCTGTCCACTGAGCCAAACCAGCTAGGGCTTACCCCTTCTTCATCTGCCAACCCTACTCATCCTTCAAAAATCAGCTGAAGCATCACCTTCTCTGCCATGCCTTCCCTCTCTGACTCATGTCCTTTTTTTCCCTCCATTTAAAAAAGAGTTACTTGTCTTTCTGCTATTGAGTTATAAATGTTCTTTAAAAAAAAAACACAAAAAAAAACTTTATTGTTGACAGTATTACCTTTGTCCTCTTCTTTTCCCATTGACCTCTCCCAGCCTGCCCCGCACCCACCCCAGGCCTTCACCATCCTAGTGTCTGTATTCCTAGGTTACACATGTACACATTCAAGTTCATTGGTTGATTTTTCTCTATGCTTCTACAATCTCCTGGGCACATTAACAGCAGCAGCAATGGCTAATGTTTGTTAGGTGTTAATTATACATCAGGCACTGGTCTACCAGTTTATAGATGTTAGAGCATTTAATCTCCACAACAACCCTATGAGATAGTAATGTCATTATCCCTATTTTATAGTTGAGGGAACTAAAGGACAGAGAGGTCAAGTAAGCTGCCCATAGTCACAGAGCTAAGTGACTATCACACTTAGTTTTTTTTTGTTGACTTGAATGTTCTTCCTTTTGGGCTCTAAATTCCTTGACAGCAGACACCACATCTTATTTGTCTTTGCATCATCAGTACACTGTGCGTACTAGTCAGTTAATGGCTGGCCTGGCCAGCGACACAGCTAAGGCCCGTGTTCAGACTCAAGAGAAAAGATAACATTTGTGTGTAGCTCTTTATAAGAAACTTACTAGAGAGGAGATTATATCTGGGGCTAAATTATCAAAGCCTTTTTTAAAAAACCATATATTTACCACTTCCACACTCAATTCCTTGTGTAGAACTCGGTTTCCATCTGGTGTTATTTTCCTTGTGCCTGAAAAACTTCACTTAACAGTTTTGTAGAGCAGGTCCTCTGGCAACAAATTTTCCCAATCTTGCTTGTCTGAAAATGTCTTTCCACCTGATACAGAATTCTGGACTGACAACTTTCCCCTCCTTTTAGCACTAATGTTATTTGTTTTCTGCTTTGCATTGTTTCTGAGAAGTCAGTGGTCCTTCTCATCTTCGTTCCCCGGCATGCAGTGTCTTGTTCTTCTCAGGCTGCTTTTAAGATTTATTTATTTTTATCTTTTACTTTCAGCAATTTGGTTATGATATGCCTTGGTGTGGCTTACTTTGGGCTTATCTGCTTGAACCTCTTGAGTCTGTCGATTTATTGTTTTCTTCAGATTTGGAGAATTTTAGCCCTTATTTCTCTGAGTATATTTTCCCCCCTCACTCCTACTGGGACTCCAGTTATGTGCATGTGGGTTATATCAGTTGAAATTGCCACACAGGTCTTGAGGCTCTAGTTGTTTTTTCCTAAACTATTTTAAACTTTGCTTTAGTTTGGATAGTTTTCTGTTGCTGTGTAACTGATCTTTTCTTCTATAATGTCTAATCTGCTCTTAAGCCCATCCAGGGAATCTGTTGTTTCAGACATTGTGTTTTTCTACTCTAGAAGCTCCTCTCAGTTCTCTCTCTCTCTTCATATGTATCTTCCATTTATCTATGTATATTATTCATGTTTTTATTTTTCCTTGATAGCAACCTTTATAGTAAATGCTTTTAAGTCCTTTTCTGCTAATTCTATGATCTCTATCTTTTCTGAGTCTGTTTCTATTGACTTATTTTTCTTATTTTTCTGCTTGATTAGTAGCTTGTCACTTGGCTGCTGGCCATTATGAATGTTACAGCTTGAGTGTTTATATCAGTGGTTCTCAACCTTTCTAATGCAACAACCCTTTTATACAGTTTCTCATGTTGTGGTGATCCCCAACCATAAAATTATTTATATTGCTACTTTATAACTGTAATTTTGCTACTGTTATGAATCATAATATAAATATCTGTGTTTTCAGATGATCTTAGGCGACTCTGCTAGGGTTCTCAACAGTTTTGAGAATTGTTTTTAAGCTTTATTAATGCAAGTCTGGAGTTAGCCCTAAACTGTAAGACTACTCAGGTGTCTGCTGATTTCCTGCTTGTTCCTCAGGGACTCTCCGCTGGCCTGGGCGGAGCTGTTCCTCTGGCAGTTCTGTGGCAGCCATGGGGATCACTAGCTCCTACGTTGCTGGTTGAAATTCTCTGCCCAGCCTTGTGGAGGTTGACCCTGTACATGCACAGCTTAGTATGCAGTCCATCTAGATTTGTGGATCTCTTTTCCTACATAGCTCCCCTCTCTCACATCCTGCTTCTCAAATTCCAGCCAATTTAGCGCCCTAAACCTTGACCTCTGTCTCCTCAACTCAGGAAGACCTCCATGCTCCACGGGGGGGCTCCACCTCGCTGTGCCAGCATCCAGGCAGCGCCTCTAGGCAGAAAGCCAGGGTGACTGCAGGGCCCCCTTCTCTCGGGATCACAATCCTGTTCTACCTTGCCCTCTGTCTGAAAACAGTCGTACCTTATATTTTTCCAGTTTTCTAACTGTTTCCAGCAGGAAAGCAAGTCTAGTACCAATTACTTTCTCAAGGCTATACAAGGAGTCCCGCAGCCTTGTACTAACTAACCTTTGCATGCGACGCCAACGTGAAGGAGAGAATTAAGTCAATAAAACTTGGATGATTACCTGTGTTTTAGAGCTACTCACAGGATTGGGGCAAGGGTCATATAGGACATTTGTGAAATATTCTGGGATGATGTTTAACATGCAGATTCCCAGGCCACCCACAAAGTTGGGGCCTGGGAGTGTGCATGAATTTCAATAAGCTCCCTGAATGATTGTTTTGCAGACTGAAGTTTGACAATCCTGGTGTAGCGCCTCTACTAGTAAAGCCAGAACTCAGACTGGAGAGAAAAGGATTGTGTGGAAGTTCTTCTCCCTTATCTCATTCCAAAGGGGTTTAAGGCAGCCACTGGAGGTCAGGAATTCAGTCTACCATCTCGGATTTGTTAAGAGCTTATGAGCATCTCTCATCATTCTTCAGTATTTTTCTTTGCTGTCTCGTGAGCTCTTACTGACAAGCTCATTTCTTTTTGCCAGATATTTCTCCTTAGTTCTAATCACTAAACTCCTCGTCGCTTCTCCACCCACTAATCATTCCCAACGAGTTCTGCATTTCTGTTCCCAAAATCTGTTCTCTCAGATCTGTACCTAGGATGTCCTTGCAGTGTTAACTGGGTCCTGTGGTGGCTTGGTGATTGGTGGCTGCTGGCCACACTTTTGCTCTGCCTGTCCTCACAACTGGCCTGTTGCTATAGCCATTGGTTGCTTAGGGAAGCGGGGGCACCATCCAGGAGGATATGCCAAAGGACTCAAGACAGCAGGGCCCCTGCCAGACATTAGCAAAGCTGCGAGGCCATTGGGGAGCAGTGCACATGGAAATTACGATGCTGATAACTCTGAGATGCTTTTTAAATTTATGGCTACAGAAAGTTTACTCAACTGGTATTCTTCAGGCCTCTCTACACCTTTCCTTGCACCTTTTTCCCAACTCCCTTCAAAGGAATCCTACTTGCTCCATTTTTTTGATCGTGTTAAAAATGATACATTTCAACCGATACATTTTAGCTGTTGAATGTTACAGCAAAACCTTCTAAATACTATGGTTTACACACATCATAAATGCATATTGTTAGAAGGTTGTGCTGGCTGCCATCGGTTAGAATCAAATTGTTGTAGCGTTAAGCAGCTGTGTAGTCTGTCTTGTCCTAACCTGTCATTTGACAGTTTAAGAAATCGAGGCTTAGAGATGATTATACAAAGTAACTTGGTGGGGAACTCTGGTTTTCTGACTCCGAAGAGAACACTCTGCTCTGATGCCGTGGTGTCCACAGCATCACTGCCATCACCATTCATTACCAAACATTGGCCATGTACCAGCTACTAAGCCTAGTGAGTCACTATTTTCTCTCTCACTAATTCACAAAACAAATCTATGCAAAAGTTTTAAAATCAACTATATTGAGGTCTTAATTTACATATAATAAAGTGCCTTCATTTAAAGTGCACAGTTTGAATTTTGACAGATGAATATGTCAAATGAAATCACCTCTATAACCAGTATATAGAACACTTTCATCACCCCCAAAAGTCTTTCATGTAACTTTTTCAGTCCATCCTTCCTCTACCCCTGTCCTTAGGCAACTACTGACCTGTTTTTTGGTCATGATAGAGTGGTCTGCATTTTCTGGGATTTTATATAAATTAAATCATATATATGTATGCTTTTGTGTCTGGCTTTATTCACTTGTAATGATTATGAGATTCATCCAGGTGGTTGCATATACCATTGGCCTGCTCATTTTTATTGATAACAATCATTGTATGGGCATGCCACATTTTTGTTATTTGTCCGTTAAAGGACATTTTTATTATTCTTTATCTCCCATATTGAACATGAGCAGATTGAGGCAAAGAAAGTTAACCTGGCCCAAGACCACACAACTTGTAAATGACAGCAAGGTGGGAAGACCACTGTGCTTACCACTGTACCACCAGTGCTGCACAGCCCAGACCAGGACTTGAATACAGATCTTGACCCCAGTGTCCTTGCTCTTGGCTTCAGGGCTGTAACAAATGATATGACCCCCAGCTATGGTGGCATCTCCTTCCACAGGTAGGTGTATTAGTGTTAGCTC